CCTGGAGGGGCTGGAGCGATAGCACAGCGGGTAGGACATTTGCCTTGCACACTGCAGACTGGGGTTCGATTCCCAGCATCACGTATGGTCTCCCAAGCACTGCCGGGAGTAATCTACTGCACCTTTTGAATTTTTTCCTTTTGAATTTGAAAATATTTTTTCCTTTTGAATTTGAAAATATTTATTTTTCTAATTCAGCAAGTTTTTATACATTTTTCAGAAGTTAATCAAAATTTGTTTTTGACTTTATCTCTTTTTAAAAAAATTTTTATTAGTGAAACACCATGAGGTATAGTTGTAGACTCACAAATTTTTGACACACAGTCTTAACACGCCCCCCTTCCTCCAGGAGACCTGAGAAAACACACTGACCTTCTCCAGGTCTCTCTCTCTCTCTCTCTCTCTCTCTCTCTCTCTCTCTCTCTCTCTTTGCTTTTTTTTGGGTCACACCCAGCGATGCACAGGGGTTACTCCTGGCTCATACACTCAGGAATTACTCCCGGCAGTGCTTGGGAGACCATACGTGATGCTGGGAATCGAACCCCAGTCTGCAGTGTGCAAGGCAAATGTCCTACCCGCTGTGCTATCGCTCCAGCCCCTCCAGGTCTCTCTTCTTGGTGCTAGAGGGATCTTTAGCTGGGATTCCTTGTTAGGTTACATCACAAGAGTCACCTCTGGCTTCCTGGGTTCCTTACAAAGGAGTCTCTTGTTGTTTGCAAAAGTGCGGAACCCACAGCTCATGTTGACCTTTCACCCACAGCCGACTCGTTCTAGTCCCCAGTCTGTCACTTCATGTGCCCACGCGGGGCAGAAGCTCCAAGCACCCGGTGGTGCACTGTGCCCTTTGCATGGCCAGCCTGCTGCTTCTCTGAACGGCTCCCCTCTCCCCATGGTGCCACAGCGGGAGGGCTGACAGGGCCCACCTGCTTTTTGGCAGGGAGCAGGAAACTTCTAAAGCCAGTTGCCATAGTTACCAAATCATCCCAGGCGGAGCAGGCACTGACTCCACACTACTTTTTTTGTGTGTGGCTTTGTCAGACATTCTTGGGCACAGCAGCATGGGTTGGGGGGCTGGTAGGGGGTGGTTGTTTCATCATTTCATGCCCACTTACGCGTGGGCTCAACAGAGTGAGGCTTGCACAGGGGCTCTATTATGAGACGCACACGTACGCCCACCCCATGCATGAATATTCCAAGTTTGACATGCCATAAATCACAGTGGCTTTTCAACCGGTCTCTCGGATCCTGCATCCACTTCCCAAGGTCCTCCTTCCTGATAACAGATTGTCTCTGGGATCATTCTGCATGTTCCTGAGAAATGTTTGTTTCTGTTTCCGAACACAAATTACGCATGCGGAAAACTTCCCCTAATTCTTTTTTCTCAGCAATTATCTATTTTCTCCAGGAAGGGAGAAAAAAAGAAACAAATACAATAGAAGCTGATTGTCGACGAACTGGTTCCTTTATAAGCATTTTAGAAAGTTAATTTTCAAATCGGATCCATTGTGGAGCTTCTTTGTATTGTGTACACCCGATGGTAATTACTAGAAAATATGACATCGGGGGCCTAATGGAGCTCCTCGGTTCTTTGACAGGCACGGATGTTCTAAGGAGGAATTCAGAAAATGAATAGAGTGACTGATAAACATTTCCTCGTCTTTCTCCTCATCCAGCTGCCAGGGAAAACACAGGAGCCCCAGGTCAGAGTTGGAGCTGGTCCAGCAACACAGCACAAGGATGGACCCAAAGTTCAGCCCATCCTGCCTACCCCCTGCCCTAACCACAGCCACTGCTCACCACCTGTCTGCCCTACCCAGGGGTGACAGAGCCAACCACCCACTCTTGGAGCTGAATTTCTGGGTGAGATGCTTCACCTTGTTTCACACACACACACACACACACACACACACACACACACACACGCATGCACACTCTTACTCACATGCACTCATGCAACACACATGCTCATACACTCATATACCCGCATGCACACGCCTGTAGTTTGCTGCTATGGGGCTGTTGGTGGGAACCTTTGCCTCACTCCATTAGCTGCTTTGATTCAAGCCCATGGGAAGCTTTTTTTTTTTTGACGGGAAAGTGTATAGGTCAAACCTGTTGGTACTCAGGGCTTACTCCTGGTTCCATGCTCAAAGATCACTCCTGGCAGTGCGCAGGGAGCCACAGGCAGTGCCAAGAGCTACTGTTGGCTGAATGCAAGACTATCTCTGTAGCCCCCTGGACTGCGTGACTCCTGTTGTAGGGAGGTAAACACTGTCCAACACTGTCCTCCCATTGTTCGTCGATTTGCACAAACGGGCCCAGTAATGTCTCTATTTTGAGATTTGTTGTTACTGTGTTTGTCATATCGAATACATCACGGGGAGCTTGCCAGGCTCTGCCCTGCGGGCGAGATACTCTCGGTACCTTGCTGGGCTCTCTGAGGGGGCAGAGGAATCGAAACCGGCTCAGCCAGGCTGGCTGAGCACAAGGCAAACGCCCTACCGCTGTGCTATCGCTCCAGCCCATGTAGGGAGGTACTGGTTCAAAAAGGAAAAAAAAAAGCTGGGAACAGAGAGCCAGGACAGCAGTTAGGGTGCTTACCTTGCATATGGCTGACCCTGGTTTGATCCTTGGCACCACATGTGGTTCCCAGAGGAGTGCAAGGAGTGATCCCTGAGCACAGAGCTAGGAGTAAGCCCTGCCGCCTGCCACCACTAGGTGGGGCCCAAACTTCCTGGTCCCCAAGTCTCCACAATTAAAAAAAAAAAAGAGAGAAAGAGGACTGAAGCCGAAGAAAGTCAGGAAGCCTTTCTCCCTGCCTTCCTCTGAGATAGGTCCTGCTGGGCTGTCCTGGGGAAGGTCAGCCAGGGGACTGCCGAAGTGATTGGAGGGCTAAAAGTTAGCTGAAGCGTCAGCTGTGTCTCTTCCCCTGGCCTGGTTCTCTGTTAGCTGGTTCCTCCTGGGAACTTCTCTGAGCACAGATGGGACGTTGAGCTTCCAGAAGGATCTCTCCAAAGCCATTTCAGGGTGAGGGAGCCCCATGGGCAGCCTTGCTGACTGGCCTGAGGGTGGCCATGAAAAACCACACAGCACAGGCTCCCCCCAGCCCCTACCAGCTGCTCCCCACCTGGAGTGACACACTTTCTCTTTTGGAATCTCCCAGCAGAAACAGGGTGCTCCCTCAGGACACCCCCTCAGGATGCTCCCAGGAAACTTCCTCAGATGCTCACTCAGGATGCTCCCTCAGGACGCCCCCTCAGGATGCTCCCTCAGGATACTCCCTCAGATGCTCCCTCAGGACACTCCCTCAGGATGCTCCCTCAGGATGCCCCCTCAGGACACTTCCTCAGGATTGCTCCCTCATGTCCCCCTGCTAGGACACAGCGGTGATCTTTACCTGCTCCCAGGGGTCTGGTAGCAAGTGATAGACTGCCATGGACGCATGCCTGTCTCCCATCCCCAGGGCCTGAGGTGAGAGCTGAATCTTGAAGCACTTCAGGCAGAAGAATGGGGAAAAGACTAAATGCCCACCCCCCACTACACCTACACTGACTCTAAGGCCCCGGAAGTCCACGATGCTCCTCCTCCTTGTGGACAGCCCAGCCCTGTGAAGGATTCAGATAGCACAACTCAGCCACTCGCTCCTCTCAAGTTTTGGGGATCATTGTCCATCACTGTCTGCTACTCCAAATTAAAAAACCTTGGTTTGCTTAATTATTTTGGTTTTGTTTGCTTAATTATTTTGGCTTTGTTTGCTTAATTATTTTGCTTTTGTTTTGTGGCCCACACCTGGCTGTGCCCAGGGGGCTTACTCCTGGCTGTCTGCTCAGAGGTAACCTCTGGCAGGATTTAGGGGATCATATGAGGCTCTAGGGATGGAACCAGGCTGGTCATATGCAAGGGCAGTGTCCTACCTGCTGTACTATCTCTCTGGCCCCTGAAAACCATTTCTGACACAGTTTTTACACAGATCTTGTCTGCTTGAGTAGATGTTTAGAACAAGTGTGTGTTGGGAGGTGGTTTTCATCTGGTCCCTGCCAAGCACTTCAGCACCTCTCCTGAGAGTTGACCCTTTTCTGACTAGATGATCAGTTAAGAGGCCAGGACTCAAGTGTCTTCTGAGACCTCCCTATTCTCACCTCACACAGCAAAGACTTTTGCCAGTCTTGCAGAAGGGGCTGGAGAGATAGTACAGGGTTCAGGGCACTTGCCATGCATGTGGCTGACCCTGACTTGATTTCTGGCACCAAATGTGGTCCCTTGAGCACCACTAGGTACTCCTAGTGTAGTCTTGAGCATAATCAGGTGAAGAAGACAAGAGAGAATGAAGAGAGGAAGTAGAGAGGGAAGGAAGGAGGGAGGGAAGAAAGGAAAGGGAAGGAAATAGAAGGGAAAGGAGAAGAAGGGAAGGAGAGAAAAAGACTAAGGGAGGAAGGGAAAGGAAGGGAGGGGAGTGGAGGAGAGGGCAGGGTGAAAACAGGCAATTTTTTTCACCATTGCAGAAGGGAATTCAACAACACAATGTTATGCTTGTGAAGCGATGCTTAAAATAATCAGCAATCAGACAATGTAAATTAAAACAACCGCATGATATTAATTTACACTAATTAGCCTGGCAAAAACATAAAATTGGATAATGCTAGGTATCTGGAAGAATTGCAGAATCTTTTTTTTATTTTTTTTTATTTTTTATTTTTATTTATTTATTTATTTATTTTATTTATTTATTTATTTTTTATTTTTTTTATTAGTGAAAAACCATGAGGTACAGTTATAGGCTTACAAATTTTGTGCTTGGGATTCAGTTATACAATGATCAAGTCCCCATACCTCCACCAGTGCCCGTCATCCGTCCCCATTGAATTGCAGAATCTTTAATGTACTTTTCAGAGGCAAGAGTGACTGGGAAGAGCGGGAAGACTTTCTGATCATGAGAAAACGTCATCTCTGCACTCACCATGGCCCATCAGGGCTCTTGTGTGTAAAAAAGCCCCGCCCAGAAAACTATACTTCCAGGAATCATTTCTATAGTGTGTCCCTAGAGAAGTTCCTCATTGTGTGAAGCACCCGAAACCACAAGGAGCCTGAACCGCCTCTCCTGTGCACGAAGCTGGGTCTAGGTGTTGCTTCTGCAACTGCCTTTTACCACTGATGCTCGTTCTTCTCTTCTTTGGAACAGAGAGGGGGAGAGGATGCAGTCTGAGTTGTCTCAATAGCAACAACAACAACAGCCACAAAGACACTAACTGGGTCTGTGCAAGATTGCTCATGGTGGGTGCTTTGTGGCGGAGTCGGAAAGGAGGTTGGCACCTCTCACAGGTGAACAAGAATGAACCGGGACAGGCACAGAGCAGGGCATTTTACAGCTGATGGACCCATCCACGTTGCTAGTGACACCTCCTGGCAGTGCTGAGTGAGAGAAGTCATAAAGAGAGCGAGCCACAGCGCACTTCTGCATCCCCCAGTATGCCAAACAACATCAGTTTTACAGGACCACACAGACGCAGGGACACAGACGAGGGAGGTATTGAAGTGTTTGCCAGTCGGGACATGAAGGGAGATGACTGTGAGTGGGACAGAAGGATAAAGGAATCGCTTTTATTGATTGGTGATTGATTGATTTTTTATTTGGAGGGTTTAGAGCACACCCAGTTGTCCTCAGGACTTACCCCTCGCTCTGTGGAACTCCAAACTATAGGGTATGCTGGGGATGGAACCTGGATTGGCTGTGTGCAAGGCAAGTGCCCTGTCTGCTTGTACTATCTCTCTAGCCCAAAGGAGCCAGCTTTTACTGTTTGTTTGTTTGTTTTGCTTTTTGGGTCATACCCGGTGAAGCACTGGGGTTACTCCTAGTTCTGCACTCAGGAATTACTCCTGGCAGTGCTCAGGGGACCATATAGGATGCTGGGAATCGAACCCAGGTCGGCTGCATGCAAGGCAAAAGCCCTACCCGCTGTGCTATTGCTCCAGTCCCTAGGATCCAGCTTTTAAATGTGAATGAACAAATGAGTAAAGAGAAAGGCCATTTTCTCTTACATCTGTCTGTCTGTTGGTCTATCTCAATGCATTCCAAGAAGTGCTCAGGGGCCTTGGGGTGCCTCTCGAGGGCTCTCTAACAATTAGAGCAGTGGTTTTAATGAGAGGGCCAACGATGCTGCTCAGGTCTTATGAGGTTTAACCTAGTCACCGTAGTAATACTGGTGGTTCTCCAGGGCCACACTCAGAGGTGCCTGGGGCCTAGAAATCAGGCAGTGCTGGGGATTGAACTGGGTCCATGTAAAGCATGAGCCGCATCTGACTGTGCTCTCTCAGCCTTGAGAAAGGTCATTTTAAAAGCATGTGCTGGGCCAGAGAGGGAAGGCACAACCAACTGAGCTTGCAGGTGGGAGACCTGGCTATGATCCTGGCCCACATGGCCATGAATACTGCTGGGAGGGATTCCTGATCACAGAGCCGCGAGTAGCCCCACAGTGCTGTGCTGCCAGGTGTGGCCCCCAAAGAGACAAAATCATTTAAAAAGCAAAATGCGAGGAGACTGGAGAGATTGTACAGCGGATAGGGCATTTGCCTTGCATGTGGTCCACCCAGATTCAATTACTGGCATTCCACATAATCCCCCAAGTGCACCACCAGGAGTAATTCCTAAATGCAGAGGCAGGAGTAACTCCTGAGCACCACTGGGTGTGCTCCCCAAACAACAACAAAAATAGAGCCAGGGATGTGACTCTGAGATTTAAATCTTGCTTTGCATGTGAGGCCCTGGGTTCAGTCCTAAACACTGGTCAGAAAAAAAGGGCAGCAAACATAAATATTAATCAAATTTGAAAAGTAATATTAAAAAACCCTGCAGTATCTATGAAGGAAAGCTAAAAAAATCACAACAACAAACGATGGTGGGACAGCCCCTTCTGTGGCTCAAATAATTTAAAATCATAATTGCTCCTGGGTCAGAGAGATAATACAGCCAGTTGGGTGCTTGCACTTCCTGCAGCTGACCTGGGCTCTATCCCTAGCTCCACATATGGTCCCCTGAGCACTGTCAGGGGTGATCCCTGAGCATAGCCAGGAGGGATCCCTGGACCCAGCCAGGAGTGACCCAAATCTCTCTCCCTAAATCATCATTATTCTGCAGTTCCATCTCAGCTGTGCTATCTTCTTTATGCTGACACATAGTCTGATTTACTTTTATTTAGGTCTCCAAAGAGGGCTTTCACCCAGTCTTTGGACAAACAGCAAAGTGCTCATTGGACCTCTGGTTTGCCTCCCCCCAGCCTTCTTTCTTGAGTGGAATGTTGGGTTAAGCTGGGGCCCCCAGAACCTGCTGATTTCTCCCAGGCTCTTCTGTCACTGTGGCTCCATTACCAACCTATACATCACCTTTTGCAGGGGATTCTGCGTGGAGGCAGACTGGTCAATCTCCTTGGGTGGTGGGCAGCCGGACAGTAATAACCCACCTTCTCACCCCCCTCATGGTCCATTCTGAGACCAGAGGCCTCCTGTGAGCTGGCTGTATTCGAGAGTGAAGTTAGCCACAAGCTGAGTAACCAGTTAACTGGGTCGGACCGAGGTCCTGGTCCTTGCTCATCTTTTCTCGATTCTTACTCAGATCCTTCACTGTGTATATCCCAACTGTGGTGGCTTCCCCATCACACCCAGGTTCCTTTGCAACCTTCTCTGCACTTATGCATTTACTTGCTTCTAGCCTTTCTTCTTGGGCTTTTTTTCACCGTTCACTTTCCCTCTCTCACTTTCACCTCTCACTTAATTTTATTCTGGAAATAGGTGACTCCCCTGTCAGGAGTGGTCCATGAGTACAGAGCTAGGAATAAGCCCTGAGAACAGCTGAGTGTAGCCCCAAAGTAAAAATAAATAAGTGACTCCCCATTCTCTCAAGCTCTTGAGTGTGAATGCTGGAGACTCTCCCCAGGATTTCTCAGTGGGGTGTGTGTGTGTGTGTGTGTGTGTGTGTGTGTGTGAGAGAGAGAGAGAGAGAGAGAGAGAGAGAGAGAGAACTTGGACCTCTGGTTTTATGCAGATTGTTAAAATAATTTTATATTAAGCTCAAACATGTCATGTTCTGCATTTAAAGCACTAGCAGAAATATGTGCACCTTCCAGAATTCACCACTTTGGGGCAGATAGTTCAAGGAGTTGAAGCGTGAGTCTGTGCGCACAGGACCCCAAGTTTGATACCTGCACTGATTTTCTTTCTCCTCCTCCACAGTTCCCCACCCCCAGCACCACCAGGTATGGTTCTGCAGCTCAGCAGCACCGCTGGGGAAGCTCCACGACAAACAAAACCCAGAGCCCATCCGTTTTTGAATTCTATTTCACTCTAAAGAGGTCTGCTGGGATCAGCACGGGACAGCAGTGAGCGTCTCTTCCAAACCCTGTGGCCATCACAGTAGCTGGCTGATGGTGGAGGCTGGAGTATTTACACCAGGGAAATTGACGCTGGCCACACATCAGGGCCTGCTGACCACCAGTGGGCACTTTCTCACAGAGAACCAGAGCCCTTTGCGTTGACTGCTGTAGGTGCTAAAAAGGGACTTGTGAAAAAGCAGCCAGACATTTTAGAAAAATATTCTCCTGTGGGAATATTTCACGCATTGTCAAATCTTGGCATGTCTTTGAGCATGTCTTTGCTGATTTGTTATGGGATGACAAGCTACTCTAACTGACCAAGCACCAAGTCTGAAGCACACAGTCTCTGTCATTGTCCTCCCGTTGTTCATCGATTTGTTCGAGTGGGCCCAGTAATGTCTCCATTGTGAGACTTGTTGTTACTGTGTTTGGCATATCGAATATGCCACGGGTAGCTTGCCAGGCTTTGTCGTGTGGGCGAGATACTCTCAGTAGCTTGCCGGGCTCTCCGAGAGGGGCGGAGGAATCGAACTCGGGTCGGCCATGTTGGCTGCAAGCAAGGCAAACACCTTACCGCTACAGGACAGCATCTAAGGTCCCTCTTCAAATGTTCTTCCTCCAGCAGGAGACATGAATGGTGCATTTTTGTGGCCACAATGGAGTGTTTTGAGGCCTTTGTGAAATCAAATGATTTTATGATTGTGGATCTATTTCTGAATGGCTTAATATTCTGTTGGTTTGTCTGCCTATACTCTACTGGCACCATACAGTTTGGGTTACAGGTAAGTTAGCTATTGTAAATGTAACTGTAATGTAACTCTACATTAGTACTGATTTAGAATTAGTTTAGATATTCAAGGCTTGCCAGGCTCTGCCGTGCGAGTGAGATACTCTCGGTAGCTTGCCGGGCTCTCCGAGAGGGGCGGAGGAATCGAACTCAGGTGGGCCATGTTGGCTGCGTGCAAGGCAAATGCCCTACTGCTAGCTAAGTCTAATTCTCAGAGTACAGTGAGAATGAGTTCAGTGAAATGAGAAAACAAGTTTAAAAATAATTGATGTGAGAACCAGAAATATAGTACAGGGGTTAAGGTGCTTGCTTCACTTGTGATTGGCCATACTGTGATCCCCAGCACTTGCACATGGGCCCCCAAACATCACCAGGATGACCCCTGCACATGGAACCAGGAATAATAGTCCCTAGGCACTGAAAGCAATGCCAAAACAAACAAAAAACCCTCATATATTTAATGAGAATAGTCATTTTAATTTTTAAATTTTATGAATTTACAGTTGGCTGGAGCGATAGCACAGAGGGCAGGGCATTTGCCTTGCATGCAGCCAACATGGCCGGCCCGAGTTCGATTCCTCCACCCCTCTCCGAGAGCCCAGCAAGCTACTGAGAGTATCTCACCCTCATGGCAAAGCCTGGCAAGTTACCCGTAACGTATTCGATATGACAGAAACAGTAACAACAAGTCTTACAATTTCTTGTGAGATGTTACTGGTGCCTGCTCGAGAAAATAGATGAACAACAGGAGGACAGTGCAGTGCAGTGCTATGAATTTACAGTAGATGTTACTGTGATTTTTAACCATAACTTACAATGGACTTGTATGTATGTTTGTAAGTATGTTTGTAAGTATGTATAGATGGATGGATGGATGGATGGATAGGCGGACAGACGGACGGACGGATGGATGGATTTGGTGACACCTAGTAGTGCTTAGAGCTTTCTCCTGGCTCTGAACTCACAGATCATTCCTGGCTGTGCCCCCATGGGGTCCTTTGGGGTGCCAGGAACAGGACTGGGACTGGTTGCATGCAAGTCAAGCACATTACCTGCTG